ATGATGAGAATGATTGAACCATTCAACGTGATAACATATGTTACAATCATTTGTAGAAGAAAAAAAAATTAAAGAACATCAAGTCTAAACTTTTGTAAATAATGAAATGTCGTTGCCAAGTAGAAAATCTACACTTCATGAATTTAAGAGATTTACACATTACTTTTAAGGGATTCACATGACTTCAAGGGATTTCCTTCATAAATTTGAAGGATCACAAACACACTCCTACCTTATATATATTCAACTTATCTTATGAAGATGTACAAATGAATTGAAAAATTGGAAGGAAAATAGTACTGTGCTTTCTCTCTATTTCATTGTTATTTAATTTCTAATATTTTATTTATATATAACATGTTATCAATACGAAATCGCTAAGTTATGTTTTGGTGATATAACTTGTCACGCCCTTTTTTTTCACATATCTCAATATTTTTTTTTGTTTTTTTATTGTTTGAAAAAGAAAAAGAGTTTTTCCAATTAAAGTGACGTTTTGAAAAGGGATAATTATTCAGAGTCGCCACTTGGAATTGAGTTTTGGTGTTCCAAGTCACCTTATTTAAATCCCTAATCAAAAGGAAATTTGACTCTATTTTATTTGATCTGCGAACTAAAAATTCGGGTAAGGAATTCTGTTGACCGAGGGGAAGGTGTTAGGCACCCCTCGAGTCCCGTGGTACTAGCACGGTCGCTTTATTGATTTTAGTGTGACTTAACTTAATTTTTGGACACTGTATTATTTAACTTAATAATAAAATTGTTATTTATTTTCAGATTTATTTTAAACTTATTTTAAACTGATTTATTTATTTTAAATGTTCTTTCTTCATTTTTTTTGGTTGTGCATCCATTAATTTTAAAGTTGAACATTCGTATATCCTTTTCTGCTTATATTTGTATGTTTTTAATTTTTTAATGTTATTATAAGTAGAATATATCTGGTTCTTAAGAATTAGAGTTTGTGTAGGAATAAATATTCAAAGTTCAAGTTAATTTAGAATTATTTATTTA